CCCCAAAACCCCAAAACCCCAAAACCCCTAATGAGTTAATTTTTAAGAAAATAAAGAAAATAATAATATATTAAAAAGAATTGTTTGGATGTGATAAAGTAAATATAAATATAAAGTAATTTGTAAATGCCTAAAATTAATCTTAACGTTGTAATTGTCTGCGGTTCTCAAGTCGTTGATCTTCCTAAGTTCGTGGATTTGCTGACTGAATCTTACCTGCCCAACGTTTAAGTAACTTAGTAAAATGGCTGTACTGTGACGAGAACTGTTTTAAAACCTAATAACTTAGCGATATTTGATGAAGTCAGCCAGCAAGATCACGATGGCTAATTGAATAATGATCTTACTAATCTTAATAACAGCAATTAAAAAGATAGTTTAAAGGGATCCTTTAAGGGTGAAAATAATGATTCTCGAAACTCATTAGATAAGTATGAGCTAGATATTTGTTTCTGGGATATGAACCCTAAGGAGCATCTTTGGTCTAGATTGAAATCTCTAGAGTTATTCGAGACTGCTAATATACTTCTAATGGTCTACAATGCAGATGACAGGGACTCTTATGACAAGATCAAGCAAATCCATGCAGATTTCAAAGAACAAAACAAAGTGGGGGCTTATCAAGTGCTCATTTCTGTGATCACAGCTGATTTAAAGCTTAAGAAAACTTAGAAGGCAGTCAAGAAAACTGAAGCTTAAGAATTTATTGAGGATGCGAATATCCCTTCGTACTTGGAAGTAAGACTCGATAATAAACAGAATCTAGACATTCTTGACTAGCATTTAAGAATAATAATGAATCCACCAATTAACATGCTAGATCACCCAGAGGAGGATGACTATCTATATAGACCATTGTTTGAAGTTATTCAACTTAAGAAGATAATCAAGAGGAAAAAGAAGAAGAAGGTTAATGAAAAGTGGGTCAGTAGACTTTATTACACTAAAACAGACTACTCAATGATAAGCAGATCTAACCAGTCGACTTATTCTTAGTATTCAGATACCTCGAGTAACTTCAATTCAAGCAGGATACTTCATCCAAACAACATACTTGATAACTCATTGAATAGCAATGGAGGATTTAGCATATCAAATAAAAATTCAGCAACTAGAAATAAAAAATTAAACAAGAATCCTAGTGCATCCACAGTGCTTTAAAAGATACCTGAATAGTAATTTTCGTAGGAGTCGTATCAAGACTTGTAATCGTAACTGCAGTAAAATAATCTTTAATTCGTAAAGCATCACTCAGTCATAAACTTGTAAATGCATCAATAACAAAACAATGTAAGAGTTGCTGAATTTTTACCAGATATCCAAGTTGAAAATGAAGATTTCATTTAGCAACTTTAGAAATAGACAACAATCTAGGAAGAAGAGGAGTACGATAGTTCGGATCATGAGAATCAAGAACTAAATGCTAATTTTCAGAACCACTCAAATTAACTTCATCTTCATTAAGGCAGTGATGATAAAAGAGTATAAAATAATAGTGGATCAATTCTAATTAATCAATTGAATCCTGAGACATTTTAATTTGAGAGAACGAATGCAAGAAGACAAACAATGAATTTCAAGGGACTTACATCACCCCCTGATAAAAATTTGAGTAACTTCTCTCAGATCTCTAGGATTGAAGAGAATAACTCAAATTATCAATCAAAGCACCTTGACTAATCTCCCCATGCTGTTAAGTGCCCTTATCATGCTAAAACTTCAAGATCTAAGTCGCCTGGGGATAGAAATGAATTGCTCTATCCAGACCTTAAGCAATATGTAGCTAATAATTTTAAAGCAGCAAAAGCTCAAAGAAAAAATGAGAAAAGCGATTCAAAACTTAAATTTGACATAAACTCTCCTTCTGTTTTTGATAAAAATGTAAAGCTTAGAAGAAGAGATGCTTCAGATAATAATAGAGGTGGGCCTAGAGATAAGAGTCCAATCCTTAACTTTAAGAATTAAAATAACAAAAATGCAGCTAATGCCAATAATATCATAGGAAGTCAGCCAACTCCAACAAGCAAAAGGGATTCCTCTCCAAATTTCTTATCAAAGACTTAAAACACAACTCCTAATTACTACATACATCCTACACTTTAAGAATCAAAAATATCAAAAGGTGATGACGAAAGATTGGACGAGTTTCGAAAGAAGCTTTTAAGTCTACAGTCGAATGCTACTACCAGTGGCACTACACACTATATACCTAGCAGTAAAAATTAGCATAAAACTAAGAAGACTGCAACCCATGAGACGGTTTATATATAAAGAGATTATATACCTGTTGAGTAGCATTATAGTTATAAACCTGAAAAAGACAGAGGTTATGGTTGCCAAAACTGTAGTATATTCTGAGTTAGCAGAGTTCAGCGAAACCGTATTTTATATATTTATTAGTTAACTGTATTTTTAAGAGTTTCACCGTTTCTTATTGCATGGGGTTTTGGGGTTTTGGGG